AATGGATGAAAAAACACCCCCCAAGTATATGCTGTCTACAAGAAACACATCTCACTCACAAGGACTCGGATAGACTCAAGATAATAGGAGGGAAAAAATATTCCACATAAATGAAAACAAAAAGTGAACAGATATAACCATTCTCATATCAAATAAACTTTAAATCAACAGCGGTAAAGAAAACACAAAGATGGTCATTTTATAATGGTAAAGGGAGCAATTCAACAAGAAGACATAATAATCCTAAATATATATGCACCAAACACAGGAGCTCCCAGATTCATAAAGCAAATTTTACTAGAATTTAGAAAAGAAATAAATACTAGGTTTATAATTGCCAGGGACTTCACCCCAGTGACAGAACTGGACAGATTACTGAAGCAGAAAACCAATAAAGAAACACTGGACTTAAATGGAACTCTAGAACAAATGGACCTAACAGACATTTACAGAACATTCTACCCCAAACTACTAAATAGACATTATTCTCATCTTCACTTGGGACATTTTCCAAGATTGATTATATCTTAGATCACAAAAAAAGTCTCAAAAAATGTTTAAAAATCGAAATCATACCAAATACTTTACCCTCTCAGACCACATGGAATAAAAACCAAAAATCAATTCTAAGAGAAACACTCAAATCCATACAAAGTCATGGAAATTAAACAACCTGCTGCTGAATGATCCAATGGTGAAATTAAAATGGAAATCAAAAGATTCCTCAAACTGAATGACAAGGGAGGCACAAGCTTTCAAAATCTATGGGATACAGCAAAAACAGTCCTAATGGGAAAGTTCATAGCCTTAAATACCTACATCAAAAAGATAGGAAGGGCTGGGCGCGGTGGCTTACACCTGTAATCCTAGCACTCTGGGAGGCCGAGGCGGGCGGACTGCTCGAGGTCAGGAGTTCGAAACCAGCCTGAGCAAGAGTGAGACCCCGTCTCTACTATAAATAGAAAGAAATTAATTGGCTAACTTATATATAGAGAAAAAATTAGCCGGGCATGGTGGCACATGCCTGTAGTCCCAGCTACTCGGGAGGCTGAGGCAGCAGGACTGCTTGAGCCCAGGAGTTTGAGGTTGCTGTGAGCTAGGCTGACGCCATGGCACTCACTCTAGCCTAGGCAATAAAGCGAGACTCTGTCTCAAAAAAAAAAAAGAAAAAAAAGGAAGACCACAAATTAACAACCTAATGTCACATCTCAAGGAACTAGAGAAAGAAGAGCAAACCAAAACTAAAACTAGCAAAGAAAAGAAATAACAAAGCTCAGAGCAAAACTAAATGAAATGGAGACCAAAAAAAGAAATGAAACAAAAAGTTGGTTCTTTGAAAAGATAAACAAAATCAATAGACCACCAGCCAAATTAACCAGAAATAGAAGAGAAAGGACTCAAATAAGGTCAATCAGAAATGAAAAAGGAGACATTACAACTTACACCACAGAAATACAAACTATCACCCACAAACACTACTACCAAAGCCCCTATGCACACAAACTAGAAAACATAGAGGAAATGGATAAATTTCCAGAAACACACAATCTCCCAAGCTTAGATCAGGATGAAATAGAAATCTTGAATAAACCAATAACAAGCAGTGAGATTAAAGCAGTAATAAAAAAAAAAATCTCCCAACAAAGAAAAGACCCAGACCAAATGCATTCGAAGCTGAATTGTAGCAGACCTACAAAGAAAAATTGGTACCTATCCTACAGAAATTATTTTATGACATCAAGAAGGAGGGAATCCTCCTTAACTTATTCTATGAAGCTAGTATCACCTTGATACCCAAATCAGGAAAGGACACAACAAAAAAAGAAAACTACAGACCAATATCCCTTATGAACATACATGCAAAAATCCTCAACAAAATACTAGTAAACCAAATTCAACAGCACATCAAAAAGAAAATTCACCATGATCAAATGGGTTTCATCCCAGGAATGCAAGGATAGCTTAACATATGCAAATCAATAAACATGATTCACCACATAAACTGAAGCAAAAACAAAGACCATATGCTCATGAAGTATGGAGTATGGAGATTCCTCAAAGAAATAAACGTAGACTTATCATTTGATCTAGCAATCCCACTACTGGGTATCTACCCAGAGGAAAAGAACCGAAAAGTCAAAAAGAACCTGCACTCAAATGTTGGTGTAGCACAATTCACCATTGCAAAGTCATGGAATCAACCAAAGTGTCCATCAATTCATAGGTGGACGAAGAAAATGTGGTGTATACACACACACACACACACATTATGGAGTACTACTCAGCTATAAAAAGGAATGAAATAATGTCTTTTGCAGCAACTTAGATGGAACTGGAGACCATTATCCTAAGTGAAGTATCTCAGGAATGGAAAACAAACACCACGTGTACTCTCTAATAAGTGGGAGCTAAACAATGGGCACACATGGGCACAAAGAGGCATAAAGGACATTGGAAACCAAGAAGGTAGGAAGGCAGGAAGGGGCGAGGGGTAAAAACTTACCTATTGGGCATAGTGAACACTATTCTGGTGATGGGCACACTAAAAGTCCCAACTTAGGCCTTATATGAGGTATCCATGTAACAAAAACATTTGAACCCCCTTAATATTTTGAAATTAAAAAAAAAAAAAAAAGATGCCCACTTTGGATAATGACAATGTCCAGGCATCCCCTCAAAGACAAAGCTCATATTTGAGCTCCCTGTCTGTCCATAAGGTCACAAGCTGAGCGCATCCCCAGAAGGGGAAGATGGGACTGCCAGGCGTGCCTCTTATTGCTGCTTTCTATTTTCCACCATTGCCCTTGGCCGTCTCCTTATTCTGGAAATGTTCGACTCAGAAACGCCTACTGTTGGGCAACAGGATCGTAAACTGAAATGCCAACGATGGTCTGTTCTTTTCATTGTCCAGGGAGCCTTAGGCTTTAGATAGCAAATAAAATAGTCAGCTCTGCTATAACACTTGGTTTGAAAACACATATTTGTCCCAATGCCATTCATACATTAGGGAGGAATTTGAGCATAACACAAATTCTATGTCTGCTTATATACATTTCCTGTGGGAGAAATACTAGGTGAATGCATAAAATTGCACCCAGCTGAACCGAGTCATGTAGAAAAAGAAAAAACATACACATGCACATCTTGAACACCTACCAGTTCACACATGTGCCAGGGTACCAGGCCCCTCCATGCCTGCTGTCACAGCTTCCCCTTGATTTCAGACAGCTCTCCTTCTACCCCTTCATAATAACAGAAAAGCTGCAGCCCTGCTGACATCCACTGCCAAGCAAACTTCAAGTTCTTTTCAAGAAATGACACACTCATTGTGGTATTTATATGTTTCTTAGCCATTTAACATGTGTAAAACTGTGCTACTGTTTTTATTAGGTTTCTATCTTTTTCATATGTACCCTTGATGAAGTTTTTGCACATTGTGCCTCTAACTCATTTTCCCCTTAAGGCCCTGTGGTTTTTATTGTGCAATTCTGCATGACATGGTGACTTTTAGGAATGCATGTCGCATTTGGGCAGAACTGGCTGCATTGAGAAAACAAAATGGTAATAATAGCTTGTTTTTCAGGTTCCTAAAGCAATATGTTAGCATAAACCATCAAAAATTCAGCATGACATTTTAAGACTTCTTTTTTCTCTCTTTCTTTTTTTTTTTATTTTATTTTATTTTATTTTTTTTTTGAGACAGAGTCTCGCTTTGTTGCCCGGGCTAGAGTGAGTGCCGTGGCGTCAGCCTAGCTCACAGCAACCTCAAACTCCTGGGCTCGAGTGATCCTTCTGCCTCAGCCTCCCGGGTAGCTGGGACTACAGGCATGCGCCACCATGCCCGGCTAATTTTATATATATATATCAGTTGGCCAATTAATTTGTTTCTATTTATAGTAGAGACGGGGTCTCGCTCAGGCTGGTTTTGAACTCCTGACCTTGAGCAATCCGCCCGCCTCGGCCTCCCAAGAGCTAGGATTACAGGCGTGAGCCACAGCGCCCGGCCTTTTTTTCTCTCTTTCTTACAAGACCATGTTGGATTTTGCCTTTGACCATCCTTCAATTACTCTAGCTCTTTCCATGAACTGTCTGGCCTAGTGTCAGGGTTGAAGGGCATCCCCAAAGGGTGTGCATCTACTGCCATAACCAGCCCACAACTGTATCTTCAAACTTGCTAGCTCACTGCCTACGGGTGTTGCTGAAGCAGCAACCTGAAGGAGAACTGAACCAGATTAGAGTGATATCAGAACTTTAAAATCACTTCTGGCTAAAATTTTTGCTATCTGGGCTTTTTGGGAATCAGCTTAATTATCGTTCTTCTGCCCTGCAGATCCTCCTGGATCTCAAGCCTGGTCTTCAGCATTCCCCTTAATCAATGAGGTGACTTCGCCTCATACTTTGGTTGGATGAAAGTCCTAAGAACTATTTATAAGAACTCTAAATGCACAGGGGTACGTGCACAGTGCAGGCTCTGAAGGTGGAATTAAGTTTTTTAAAGATTGCTATTACCTTGTCATCAGAAGAGCAAGACATGGCAAGGGAGTTTAATCCTCAGCAAACTTTCTCAGCAACAAACCTCCACTACTGTCTTTTTTCACATTACATCATAGATGCACTCATGAGGGAGTACAGTGCCACGTTTATATGTGTGGTTAATGAACTCTGATTCCACAGGCTTTAAGAGTTATGCCTGGTTTACAAAGATAAGGCTTTAATCATCTGAGAAATAATAGAGCAGAAATCTCAAGTATAGAGTACAAATAAATCCTGAAATCAGACCCCTGGATTCAATTCACAGCTTACCTTAAGCTTGGTTACCTTAAGCAAGTTACTCACCCTCTCTGCGTTTTAGCTTCCTCAGCTATCAAATGAAGAATAATAGCACCGGGGAGTAAATGAGTTAATACATGTAAAATACTTGGAACTGTGCTTAGTACAACAGTGCCAAAGAAGTATTTGCTGTTCTTACCATTGCACAAAAGAACCCAGCCACGACTCACCTCTGGTATACCAGAGCCACAGGCATATGGCGCAAATACACGCACCAGGGAGACGGCCAAAAATGCAAACAGCAGCGCCCACAGGATGTACATTAAGTAATTCAGAATGTAAGCACTGGCACCCTAAACAACAGATATAAAACAAGAAAGGAAACATGAGCCATAGCAGAACTGAGCAATGTACCCATCCCTACCCCCTCTGTCGTGACAACAAAAGCTTTGATGGCACTGGGCAGGTTTGGTCCCCCCCCCGTCTTATGTAAACAAAAACGCTGGTGTTGGTTTTATCAGCTGTTGCTATTGCTACAGTCAGTAAACACAAACAGCGCACTGGGTGTTTCTCCAGGAGCTATTTACACGTAGCTTCTACTGAGTGAAATCTCAGCAGTAATGGAAACTGTGAATGCTGCTTGGTTTTAATCACCACTTGCACCAGAGTTAATGAAATGTGGGATGCAGAAAAGTCTGCCTTCGAGACCCTGGCAGATTTGTTTTGTCTTGTCTGCGGTGGATTGGTCTCGCTCAGCTTTCATTATGACCACACCCATACCACAACAAGCAGCTGCAGTGCCAATGAACAAGGGTTGGAACCGTATTTCAGAATATGCTCCTCAAAGTGTGGTCCGTGGACCAGCAGCGGCGGCAGCAGCATCGCCGGGGAGCGTGTTAGAAGTGCTGACTCTCAGAACTCAGGCCAAAGCTGCTAAGTCAGACACCATGGGTGGGGCCCACCTAAGTGTGTTCTAACAGGCCCTCCAGACGGTTCTGATGCGTGCTAACATTTGAGAGGCACTACTAGAGGAGACAAGCTTGATCTCCTTCAGAATAATTCATTGAACCATTTATTCCAAATTACCTGATGTGTGGAGAACGTTTCCTCAACCACACACACAGTCTGAGGCCTTTTAGGCCAAGGACCTAATCTGCTGCATGGAGGCCACGTTTCTCTGGGCCTTAGCTTCTCGCTCCCATCTGGATTTCCCAAGTGAGGGGGGAAGGAAAGAAAGGTCACCTACAAGTCAGGCCATGGCCATGGCCACGTGTGTGCCTATTAAATGCAAAAACAGTTCCAGGAGACTGCGCTGCCTTTACAAGCACATATATTCACACCCTATGTGGTGAGAAATCGGACTGAGAAATACCTTTCACCCACTTAAATATGTACTTTTTTTGGGAGGCTAAAAATAACTTCTCACTCTTACTAACAATAATTCCTTGCATCAAAGAATAAATCTTAAAAACAGCTGAAAAGATGGACAACCATATTTCCCCAAAACACACACTGCAAGGAGAGAAGAAATAAAACATGGCACGCAGCCAATTCCGCCTGCCCACGCCCATCAACCCAAGTAGAGAATTTCTTTCTCGAAGTAATGGAGAGCACTGAGAACGTGTGAGATTTCAAGATCTCTGTCTATTTCTGAGATTTGAAGGAATTAATTTTCAATTCCACCGAGAAAGAGGTTTAGCAAAATGGCAAAGTGCATTCCAAATGTCTTCAGCTGTGGTAAGTCAGTCGGGCAAAAAAAAAAAAAAAAAAAAAAAAAAAAAAAAGAGCAGGGAAAGGAGGAGATGTATAAACAGATTACATACATCTTCCAAAAATAGTTCTAGCTCAAGCAAGCCTCACATTACCCCTAATGTGAAGCTTGGCAGCCCGGCTCCCCCTCACCTGGTGTTCTGATCGGTCACTGAGTTTGGTTAGAAGTTAACCCCTTCCTGAGTGAAGGTCTTTATAAAGATTGGAAATTCTAATTGCCATGAGGGCGGTCCCTACGTGTGTGGTTCATACTACATCTCCTGGGCCTGGGACATTCCCTTCAAGGAAGGCCCAGAACATCCTCTGAAATATGCTCATAAAATGCAATGGAAAATGATAACTAAAACCACAGTGAGGTAGCACTTCACACCCACTACGAGAGCTATACTCAAAAACAGACAATAGCAAGTGTTGGTAAGGATGGGAGAAATTAGAACTGTCAATCACTGCTAGCGGGCGTGTGAAATGGCGCAGCCACTTTGGAAACAGTCTGGCAGGTTCTCAAAAAGTTAAACAGAGTTCCCATCTGACCCAGCAATTCCTCTCCTAGGTATATACCCAAGGGAAATGAAACATATGTCCACACAAAAACTTGGACACAAATGTTCACAGCAACATCATTCATAATAGCCAAAAAGCACAAGCAACTGACGAATAGATAAATAAAATGTGACATATCCATACAACAGAATGTTATTTAACCATGTACAAGAAGGAAATACTGATCCATGCTACAACGTGCAGGAACCTGGGAAACATCATGCTAAGTGACAGAAGCCAGACACAAAGTCCGCATATTGTATGATTTTATTTATATGAAATGTCCAGAAGAGACAAATCTACAGAGAAAAAAAGAAGATCCGTGGTTGCTTAGAGCTGGCGGATTGGGGGAGCATAGGAGTGACTGCTAATGAGTACAGGGTTTGGGGGGCAGTGATGAAAATGTTCTAAAATTAGATTGTGGTGATGGGCACGCAGCTCTGTGAATATACTAAAAGCCATTGAACTGTGCACTTCAAACGGATGAACCATATGAACTGTAAATTTTATCTCACTAAAGCTGTTACTTTTTAAAAAAAGGATAACTAATCTTTTCTCCCCAATTAGAAGGTAACTAACCCTATTTCTTCAGCATGATCAACAAACCACCTTTGCTAAGAAAAATAAAGCCAGACATGAGGCTTTAAAAGACACACATTAGTACATACTGTGCACATGAAACAACAGGGAAGGGTTTTCCAGATGAGGTTTGAGGGGTAGCATGAGCTAGAGCAAAGAAAGTCACATAGTATTAAGTATTAAGCCGTGCACTATGACTAGAACAGACACTTGAAGGTGAAATGACAGACATTCCCAAATTGCCCGGCAGCATTCTAAAGTGCATGTGGAATGGGGACCAGGACCCTGCCTGACACCCACCTCCGACTGATTCACCAGCAGCTCTGACCATTTCTGCCACAGGGGACACTTGTCCCTGTCCTCAAAAGTGGTCTCGTTGGAAGTCCAGCAGCATTGCTCGTGGCTGTACCAGAAGGCAGATAGGCAAACCCCTTCCTTCAGATCTGTCATCCAGTCCACGGCGAGATCGATGACGCCAGCCAGAGTGCCTGGAAGAAGAGGAATTGCCCCATGACGTGACAAGGAGAACAGCAACCTGGTGGCCACACACGAGCACTTCATCAATGAAGGCCCAGATACCAGAACAGGCAGTGAATGGGATGGGGACTGTCACTTACACAGGAAGTTTCTTTCATTGACCCCGAGTCACTTGAACCTTTACGGTGTGGCAAGGCAGTGCCAGCCCAGTGAGGGATGCAAAGGGCTCAGTGGCTTCATTCAGGTAGGGGAGAGAGACATACGGGTTTACACTCCGATCTCAGGCCCTGGGGCCAAGCAACTTTTGAGACTCGTCCCTTTCCAAATTTTGAAACAGGGAATACACACCATAAAAGATACAACCCTCTCAACAGCTGGGACGGCATCCTGGAATCACACACGTTAATGTTAATATTTCTCAGGAAGTCACGATAATCCAGGCAAAGTGAAGGCATGACGACTGTGACAGCCTCACATCATAAATGAGTGAGGTCTTACCACCAAATGGGAACCACACTTGGGAAAACCCTGTTTATTAGAACTTTCTGTATTTTTAAAATTATGGCTAAAGGATTACGGGTCTATATAAGTAAATAATTACTTTAAACGCCAACAAAAGTGGGATATAATAGAATGTGTGGTTGAGTGGGCCACAAAAGGCTGCCTTGGGTTTCTTTCCAGAATAACCCATTCTAGCTTCTTACAGGGGCAGGGACTGCTTTAGGGCTTCTTATTTTTTCAGACTTTTTACTGGATCTTTATTACAGTATCGGTCCTGCGTCCGCATTTCTACCAAAGGCGCCCACACGCCGTCAGCACTCACCCTCCCTCCTCTCTTGTCTTTATGTGGGAAGCCACCCAGCTCAGCTCTAGATCAGCTCAAGATCACCTTCCTCCTTAGGCCGCCTTCTCCAAGTTCCCCTTTCTGTATCCTCAACCTCTCCTTTTCTGATGGTTCCTTCCCATCAGCATTTAATCACTAAAAAAAAAAAAAAAAAAAAAATCATACCTTCCCTGGTCCCAAGTCCTCCCACCAGCCACGATCCTCTCTCTTCCCTTCTCCTCCCAGCCTCACTTCCCTCAGCCCACCAGGAGATGCCTGCGCCGCTAAGGGCAATGGCCTTTGCTCAGTTCTCATCTTCTAGAACAGGATCAGCAAACTATAGCCCCTGGGTCAAATCTGGCCCACTGCTTGTCTCTGTAAATAAAGTTTTATTAGAGTACAACCACACCATTCAATTATATGGGGTCTGTGGCCACTTCCATGCTGCGATGGGGAGAATTGAATAGTTGAGACAGAAACCACATGGTCCACAAAACTGAAAATATTTACTCTCTAGCCCCTTTTAGAAAGTTTGCTGACCCCAGTTCTAGACCTCTCAGAATCATTTGACACTGCTGACCACTTCATCCTTCTAAAAACACCTCTTTCCATGGCTTCCACAGCATTATACTCTCCTGGTTTCCTCCTACCTCTCCAGTTTTCTCTGTCTTCCCTGATCTTTCCTATTCCTCTCCTCAACTTCTAGAAGGCACATTTCCTCAAAGCTTTATCCTAAACCTTTTTCTCTTTTTACACTATACTCTCCACCCTGACAACCTTATTGATGTCCTTCTATTTGCCAATGAGCCTAGCTATGCCTTTTCCAGACACCTAGAACCCCCCTGCCTACTGCAGGGTAAATGACCACATAGCCCAGCTGCCAGCCTCCAATGCCCACGGCAGACATTACCAATCAATTGTGACATGCTCTACTGGATGCGTTTTCACAACCCTTTTGACATGTCCATGGCAGACACCACTAATCCATCATGACACAGTTGTGTGGACTCAGCCTCCCAAACCTTTTTAACCCAGCCAAGGGCAGTCAAAGCCCAATGAACAGGAATTGTCTAAGGACACGAGTCTCTTTGTCTTCTTGGGTCTCCTGGATTTCTCCACTCTAACTCATTGCATCCAACGCTGCACTAAAGTATCCAGCACTGTGCTAGCTGGGAGAGAGCCCACCATCTAAGTACAGTCCTGTGCAAACTAGAAACCTGGGTAGGCATGCCCCTTCCAGACTACCGCTACATCCCAGCAACTCCACCTCTGAAATCTCTCGACTCGCTCCACCTCCCACCTTCCCCACCTGGGCTGCCATGCAGACCGCCATCTTGGAATGGCTCCCTGACTTCTCCACGCTGTGGTCAGACAGGCTTTCCAAAATGCCAATCTGACTCGGGCTACTGCCCCATGGAAAGCCCTGCCACAGCTGCCCATTGATCTTGAGAGAACACCCGAATCCTCACCACGGCGCCAATTCCGACAGCCAGCCCCGTGTATAGCTCCAGCTTCATCTTTTCCCTCACTAACGCCTGCACTCCACCTGCTCCATGTTCCTGAAATGTGCCAGGCTCTCCCTCTCTGCACCATCTCAGCACACACTGTCTTCCCCCCACCGGGCACTTCTCCTACTTCTCTTCCAGATTCCAGCATTTATATTAATATCACTTCCTTCAGAAAGCCTTCCCTGATTTCCTAAGTCTGGGTTAGGTGTACTCCCCAGACATTCCTGTGGCTGCCTGTCCTTCCCCAACACCACACCTCTCATACTCTGACATCATTATTTGCTAGATATATACATTTGTACTTCCACTGGCCTATAAGTGGCAGGAGGAAAGTTTCATTATATAGTTTTTGTGCCACAGTGGGGGTCAGGCCAGGCATCCAGGCCCTGTGTCCAGTCTAAGTGGGCAAGGACACTATCTGCCTTGTCCACTGTTGTATTCATGTCAGGTACAGAGGTGGAGCTATATATCCTTGCTGAATGAATGAGGGCAATAAATAGATGACTGAAAAATCAGAAAACTCAGGCCCACTCGTTCATTCAAGGGATATTTCTTGAGCACATACTCACTCTTTGCCAGTTACTAGTCCATGCCCTGAGGATACAGCAGTGAACAAAGCAAACCCAAGTCCTGCCTTTGTGCAATCATACCTTACAGCTGGGAGAAAGACACTAGACAAAATAAGCAAGTAAATTAGAGGCTCTGTTAAAAGGCGGTATGTGCTAGAGAGAAAACATAGCCCATTACATAGGTACAGTCACCTCAGAAAACAGTCTGGCAGTTCCTTAAAAAGGTAAACACAGAGTTACCATTTGACCAAGCAATTCCACTCCTCAGCATATACCCAAGAGAAACGAAAACATATATCCACATGAAGACTCATACACAAATGTTCACAGCAGCATTATTCAAAATAGCCAAAAAGTGGAAACAACCCAAATACCCATCAATGGATGAGTGGATAAATAAAATGCGGTCTATCCAAATAATGAAATAATATTCAGCAGTAAAAAAGGAAGAGGCACTGATACTTGCTGTTTAACACCACACAGGTGAGCCTTGAAAACATTATACTGAAAGAAGTTAATCACAAAGGATCACACATTGTAAGATTCCATTTATATGAAATGCCCAGAATAGGCAAATCCACAGAAACGGAAAGCAGGTGAATGGTAGCCTAGGGCTGGGAAGTGGCTTGGTGCGGAGCTGGGGCTCGATAGCTAAAAGCTACAGGGGTTCTTTCATAGGGGTGACAAACTTATTCTAAAATTGACAGTGGTGATGGGTTGCACAACTCTATAAACACACAACTCTAAAAACCACTGAATTGTACACTTTAAATGGGTGAATTGTATGGTATGTGAATTATTTCACATATATTACAATATTACAAAATATTGAATATATTATATAATTCAATATTGAATATATTTACATAAAATTGTTACACCCATACGGTCGGTCAGAGAATGAGATTCAGAGAGGGGATATAATTTTCTTTTAAATTTTGCATACCAGGCAGGTTTTAACTTTTTAAAAAGCAATTAAATAATGAAATACCTCACTACAAACACAGAAGTACATATAATTAGTTTCATTAAGGTAGATCTATTATTAGCTATTTCCTGATTTATTTTTATTTTTAAAATTGACAGATAACATTGTATGTTTTTATCATGTGCAACATGATGTTTTGAAGTACACACACCTTTTAGAATGGTGAAAAACATTTCCTAATTTAAAGTTGGAAACTAAAACCCAATGAAAAGAAATCACGCATACTCAAAGGGTTTTCTCCGGATCCAGAACGCCTGCTTCAGCCCAGGGGGCCTGCACAAAGGTAAACACTGCCCCCTAGTGGCAGCAAGCAAGAACGTAAATTTTAGCATTTCGTGAGTTTTTCCACAGGCTCTGGTAATGTTGAATTTAGAAATATCATCAGGACAAAGGCAGAGGGCTCATTATCTTGATCTCTTTTTACTTTTTGAAATTGAAATTGATAAAAGTGTCTATGGAGTACAATGTCATGTTTTGATTTTTGTATACATTATAGAAAGATTCAATCAAGCTAATTTACATAGCTTACTAATTGATTTTTGTGGTGAAAACGTTAAAAATATATTTTAGTAATTTAGAAATATACATGATTATTAATTGCAGTCACCATGCAATGCAATCGCTCACTGAAACTTATCCCACCAGTCTGAAACTTGTACCCTTTGATCAACATCTTCCCTTTCCCCATCCCACCCAGCTCTCCCAGCCTCTGCTAGCCACCTTTCTACTCCCTCTTTCTATAAGATCAGCTGCTTTAGACCCCACATATCAGTGAGATCTCGCAGTATTTGTCTTTCTGTGCCTGGCTTATTTCCCTTAGCATAATGTGGAGGGATGTAATTTTAGAGAAGGTGGTCAAGGAATGCCTTGAATGGAAGATGACATTTGAACAAAGGCCTGAAGAAGGTGAAGGAGGGGTCTTGCAGATATCCAGGGGCAAGCTGCAATGATCACCCAAATTCCATCCTTATCCATTCATTCACAATCCCACTGTTCCCACCTGATCTTGGCTGTTTCTGGTTCTGAGCGTGGCCAGCGGTCCTCAGCTTTGTTCCGTGGTCCAACAGTGACACCTAGTGGTGACTCCTGATAAACGCCCTGCCGAGGAGCTGCTGCTGGGCCTCTCCATGAGAGGGACTACATACAACAGCCATGGTGCAGCTGAGGGGACCCCAGAGCCCTTCCCAAGGTCAGTCCAGCAGGGAAGGGGAAACTGAATGGGGCCACAGCACGCTGGCTTCCCTTCAAGGTGCTTCCAGGTCGAGAGAACACCTGAGGCCGCTTCACACCATTCACGCCCTGCTGCTGTGCCCGAGGGCTGTCCACTCTCCAGTGGTCCTCACCCCTGGCTGCAGTTACAGTCACACAGGGGACGGGAGGGGGCTTTACTCAGTGCCAGGGGTCCTCTCCAGAGATGCTGTTTAAGTGAAGCTTGGGGCACAGCATATATTTTTTTGACAAAGAACTGATAGAAGTTGAGCTGCTAGTGAAGCCAGCTGGTCAAAATCACTTTGAAGTCAGCCCATTCGGGCTCCTGGATTAGTGAATAAATTTAAGCTGTGCCATTTACTCAGGCAAGCCACCAGAACATCTATTCCGAGTTTCTTGATCTACCCTATTTACTTCTCCTTCCTAGGAGCCAAGAATAATGATACACTGTAAGGTTTTCTAATCTGTTCTAAATGAGGACATTAAAATTCATAGCAAACTCCTACCCTGCCCACCTTCAATAGAAACAATCAAGCAAAATTGGTGACCGAACACCACCTGTCAGCAAAGTCGAATTCCCTGCCCTGGTTGCTGCCAGTGTATGCTGAGAAACGCCTGCCACTGGAGGAGGAAGGACAGAATCAGAGAAATGGGTGGACAGCTGCTGTGACTAGCAGGAAAGGACTCTTCCTCCAAGCGTTCCTCTTGGCTCTTTATGGGATGCCGAGGCAGGTGAGACAGATGGAGTCTGTCTCCTGGCAACCACGCCCCTCCTACAGTCATCTACGGAATAAATGAAACATCCTCTGGAAATGGAAATCCCCTGTAATCACAAACTTGTATCTATGCTCCATTAGTATTCTTTCTTGAAGTCCTTATTATACATATTCTGCCTAGATTACAGTCAATTCCATGATCAAATCTGCTAAGGAACTGAACTGCCACGTTCTTATACGTAAGGGCTCTCTCTCTGGCATGCTCAAGTTTTTATTCTTAGACATTAACCTTCACAGTTTTCTAAAAGGAAATAAGTTTCAGGAAACAATTTCCACCAAGAGCTGGTGTGTTTGATATTAAAAAGACAGGTTTTCCCTCTAGGTATTTATCCATTTACTCTGGAAACATCTACTGCTTGAGAACATGGTGTCAGCACTATAAAAAAGGAAGGGTGCAGAGTCCCTGAGGGTCAGACCGATGTAGGGACTGGGCCTGCCTCAGTCCTGTGGGTGTCTAGCATCATTCTGAGTGTCACGGGATATTTACAACTCATCCCAGGGCCTGCCAGTAGTAGTAAAAGACAATCTCGAATGTTATTTTCTTACTAGAGATCAAAACGGTCCCCCATTTTGTTGCCAACTACATTAACGGAGTACAGTAGAGTGTAAAATGTGTGCTTTCAGTAAAATGCACTGTGGTGATAAACCTTTGCCCCGAGGGGAAAGGGCCGACCAGCTTGATGATGATGACAGCTCTCCAGACGCCCGTGTGTGGCCCATGCCTTGGGTGTCCCTTACTGATGACAGATTTTAAGTTAAATATTACACATGGTCATGTATTTTGCTCTTAGATATTTCAGGTACCAAATCCCTTGCATGGGGGTCAAAGAGCAACACTCCATATTGTGAATGTCATCGCAAAGGCCAGCGCCGTGGGGTTCCAGCATCTCCAGCCTGTCCCAGGAGCACCGCGTGCCCGCCCACATACCCGCCAGCAGGCCGATGAGCAGCATCACCACCCATCCTGACCAGGCATCCAGCAAACTCTTGATGAACTCCCACAGCGACTCCTTGCTCTTGCTGGTTATCTAGAAACAAAGCAGACACGGTAGCTCGTCTGAATACGTTTTCCAATTCATGCTTCTTTCCCTGAAACTGTTTCCTTGGGAAACAGGATAATTAGAAAATAAAACAAATGTAATCAAGCCACTGAATTATCCCATCACATCATTCTTTCAGTAATGTCCCACAATCATAAAATGCACTTTCTAGTTCATAGGGCGGTAAAGATGCCATAATAGTCCCCGAAGAAACAGAGCACAAAAAACTTCACTTCATTAAAAAACATAATAAACGTGATTTGATCTTTGATTATTTAATAGCCATGCTGAAGGAGGACGTTGGTGTGGTGTCCCCATTTGGAGGACACCAGATAGGAGTTACTATCTAACTTACATTGTTAGGTCTGTTCATTAAAAAGCCCCTTCAACGAAGATTTCATCTCCTACTTTGGTATTGCAGGTTACATTTGAACAGCATGAATTTAGAATTAGCTAGCACAGATCATGCCTACCATAGACAGACACATCTGCACACACTCCGCACACTGTGAGAACAGCCCTTGCCTCCCTGTGCTCACAGACTCCTACTGCCCTGAGATCACCATTCCCCTCCCAGCCCTTTAGAGCAGAGGTCAGCAAACATTTTCTGTAAAGGGCCAGAGAGTAAATAGTTGGGGCTTTGCAGGCCAAATGGTCACTGCTACAACTACTCAACTCTGCCGCTATAGCACGAAATGAGCCCTAAAGAATATGTAAATGAATGGGCATGGCTGAGTTCTAATAAAACTTTATTTACAAAACAAGGTGCCAGCTGGCTCTGGCCCCAGGGCCATAGTACAGGCTGAGCCCAGCTCTGGAGTGCAGGCCACCCCACCCACACTGCCCTGGACCTCACCCCCTACACACCTCTCTTCCTCCTTCCCACCACCTTTCAGGAAATAACACAGTCACTCTCTCCTCAGCACTCCTCGTCCTCCTGGGGAGCAGCTCTTCCAAGGTCACCGACATCCCCTACCTAACCGCCCTGCAGAAGGTGACCCTGGGAGGAGCCCCTCCTTGACTCTCTCTCCTCCTTACACTGGGGACACTCTTGGCCGGTCCCCCTCCCCTGTCCCTCATAAATGATCCCAAAGCACTTGTTATATAAACTTTATTATGGCCCATTAAAATATATGTATGATTGCCGACTAGATGCCAGGCACTATATATATAATGTGTGCTCTCATATATACACAATCTCATTTAGTCTTCAGGTATAATGACCTCCATCCTTATGGATGAGAAAACAGGGTCCAGAAATGGCACCCCCAAGTCCCCTCCTTGCCCTCCACACTGCACTCTCCCCATAAGACAAAGCCTCACACCCAAAGCGCCTGGTATCGTAATGATCTGCCCATATCTCTGCCTCTCCCACCAGCCCTCCTCTTCCTCAGAACCTAACCCAGTACACGACACACGATCCTAGGCCCCAGCTCAGTGACTCGAAGGCAAGCATGGTGTACCATCTGCAGGGATCCCCTTCAGCGTGTCCTCTCAGAATGCCACCTACCTTCCTGTGTCTGTCAGTATCCCGTGACTTTTCCCTTAGCCAGTCGATGGTGTGGAAGTCTTCATACGTCCCCACATCAGGGAACGGCTCATCGAGGAAATCCATCAGGTTTCCAGAGCCACTCATGGCTCCTGCACTGACCATGCTAGTTACACCTGCGGAGAAAACCGATCATTAAAAAAAGGTAAGCAGCACACCTCCACGACGTCCTGGCAGAGGAGTAATCCACTTGCTCTATTTTCTTGTATAAGAAAAAATTATTTCAGCACAGGCATCTCTGCTGTGATGAAATACAGACACAGTCAATTCTCATAATTCATGGAAGTTATGTTCTATAAAGTCACCTCAAACACTGAATTAACAAATACTGAACCACTGCTCCTAAGAGGATACAGGGTTAGGTTTCTATGAGCCGCTGGTCACATTTTTGTCAACCTATCAATACATAACCTTGTCGTCTGTGTTTCTGTTTAAAGATACCCTTTTAATATATATTGTTGATTCACTGACATTGAACTCACGGCCAACAGCACTATGACTCATGCCTGAACGAAGCTTTTCTAACACATGTATCTTCTCCATAAAACACGGCACACAGCCTTCTTACACGTAAGAACACGAGACAGCATTCCAGCACTGCGTTTGAGGGCCATTTTAAATGCAAAATTACTGACCAAAAAACCCCACAAAAATGTGAAAAATGTGGCACTAAATAGAACACCAAAAGGACATGCATTTACAGCCAGAGTGGAAACAAGGAGGCAGGGCATCGCCTTCTTAGACTTCAGCTAGGAACGTGCACGCTTCTGGCAAATCAAAACTTTTTGCCACTCTACACGTGCACGTGTCCATAAGTGACCTCAAAAGCACCATGAGTACTGATTTGGGCATTACAAATAAATTTTAGTAAGTAGGCCAATTTGAAAATACAGAATCTGCAAATGAGGATCAACTATAAACATTTCTGAAAAACCTCACATTCTGCAAAAGCGAGGCATTAAAATGAGGGAGTTGGAGGGACAAACGGGGCAAAGACGGTTCAGATTCAAATAATTGCAACAAAACTGATCATTGCTTCCCACATGAGATAACGCGGACCACTCAGGCAGGCAGCCTATGTGGTCGTGATCATGGATATTCAAGATGTGCAGCAATGGCAGAGTGAAAATGCTGGCAAGACTCTAAGTAGCTGGTGGGAGCCAAGGCAATCTGCAGATGGCAGCTACCCTCTGCATCAGTGGGCCACCATGGAGATGGACAAGGGATGGAGGACAACCTGCCCATGAGCCAAGAGCCACGCAAAGTTGGTGGCACACTGCCCTGGGTAAGGAGCTCCGCATGCAGATACTCATTTTTAATTTATCTTAAAATATAGCCAAAAGGGCTCCGGCTGCCAGGGCAGTAGCAAAGTTGAATGTCTCTTCCTTCTTTGTCTAAGACAATTCTACACGCCTATTCCAGTTCCTCTTACCTGGAAAACAATAGCAAATGAACCGACACATCTCCCATGCTCTCCCGCCATCAGAGCTTGATTTACAGTTTGCATAGGAGATAATTTGAGATGTAGAAAATGCTTTTGCAGCAGGACCTGCACTCTCCAACAGGTTAGCAGAAAAAATAATACACTCTGTTATAGAGACAAGAAGTTGGAATACGCACTAAATAAAAATTACTTTGGCAAGGAGCATGGAAATTTGAATTATAGGATGAGGACCACGAAAGTGCTGGAATAGATAGTTAAAAAGTTGAAGGGTGGTTATAAAAATTCAGGCTTCTGTCATTGCTTATGTATTTATGTATCTGGATGACTCAGCCATGAACTGATGAAACTGCATTTTAATCAAATTGAAGAGTTGGTATGGGCAAAGTAGGGTAATCACCTTACAAGCAATAAAGTGGCCACAGTGATTCATTTATTGACCATCTGTGTAACCCAGCTGCTTTAAAACTTTAAAAGTTTGAGCTGTGCCAAGACAAAAACGATACCCACTGATGAGTACCCAGGGAAGAATCACGTTGCATAGGTCAGTAGCAACCAATAACATAGCGAATAATATAAGGGAAGGAGTAAAATTAGAAGGCAAAGGCTTCATTTCTCATTTCTACACAAACAAAATGATAATAATCTTATTATATGTGACAAAGAAAATCTCTGATGGGAAAAACAAGACAAAAGGCTATTGACCCTCAATGCAAGCCCTCGTCAGAGAAAACAGAAGATGGAAGAAATGCCGAATCTTGGACAGTCCACTAAAAAGGAGTTGCTACAAACCTGAGATTCAACCATATCTCTAGTCAAGCAACTACTCCAGGCAATAACACTCGAAATAAACAGTCCCTCTGGAGAACAATTACATCTTTAAACTTTAATGGCATAGGTGGTGGTTCTAAGGCAAATAAACAGGAGCTGATCAGCAGAGCCTTGGGGCAGGGATTGGGGGACTTCCCTGGGATATGTCTCTGGGGTCCCAGAAGGAAGTGCTGGCATCCTTCTGAGGTTGGGGTTAAAAGATCATCTAGGTCCAGCTGACCACAGATTCAGGAGTGAGCCCAGCCAAGATCAGCCAGCCTTGGCCCAATCCAGCCTGTAATGGTTACTGTTCTAAGCCATTGAGTTTATTGAAGGAGTCATCATGCAGCAGCATCGTAACAGCGAATAACAGGTGGAATGTACTTGGGCTCTGAGGGAAAAGAGAAAATGGGTCTGTGGAAGACATGGGGCAGGGACAGCTAGGTCTTTTGTCCAATACCTCAAGGCAAGAAAGTATCTGTAGGTTTGGTGTGTAAGCATGAAGACCCCAAGAGGCCAGGGTCAAAGTCTTCAATAGCAGGTGGTAACAACAGATCCTGTCCAGTAAAACTCACTTCACCCAGGGCCCAACAAAGACAAGCATGTGTTAACTATGATAGTATCAATGATGCAATTTATGACTTTGATGTTGAAAGCAACTCTGAATGGGCTGGTTCACCCTCAGAACAAGGATCTGTACCATTTAAAGGAAACCTAGACTTCTTTTGTTGTTGTTGTTGTTGTTGTTTTCTAGGCTAGTCAAGTGAAGCAGTGGGAGTGGAGAAGGAACAAAGTAACTATAACTGGTTGTGATCAATTAGTTGTAGACACCACTGCACTTGGACCAGCGGGAAACCTGGACTTTAAATAGTTGGGTGGTAGCAATAACATAATGGGTTCTAGAAGATGAAAGAAAACAGGAAATCACCCGGATCAAGATCAAGAAGGATGGATTCTAAGCATAATCAAGGCTTGACTGAATATAGAATAAGCCACCACAGCCTAATCATGGTTATCAGCATGTCTGACCAAAAACATCAGGCAGAAACCCCTACCTTTGAATGTGCTGTTCCTTCTACCTTGAAGAGCTTTCCTCTCCTCTGCCTAGAAAGCTCCTATTCACCCTCCAGAACCTCGTTCTGTTTCATCCCACCTGTGCAACTTGCATTAATTCCCCCAGAGAGAGTCCTGAGGGCATCCTCCTTAGCCATCCCAAAGCACTCTTGATCAGAACTCCTAATCGCATTATGGTAACAAATATCTTCTCACTGCACTGTGACCTCTGCAGTCATGAACAATGACTTCCTCATTTTTACATCTCCATCGCTGTTCCGACATGTAGTCAATGCTCAATAAAGTGTTTTGAGTTCATTTAAATGTGTGCATATCTCTAAACCACTTGGGCAACAAAGGCAAGGCCCCCATTACAGAATTTTTATAGGCTTCATCTATATAACCACCAAAAACATGTAAGTCTCAGTTTTATCATAAATACGATAAACAGACTTTTTAAAAAGTGTAAGGAGAACAGACAGCCTAGAACAAAGGAGAGCAAAGCGAATGGGTTTGTCAGCGCAGCCCCTGCTCAGTCCAGGGCAGTCCCAACCAGTCCCCACAGGACATCCTCAGGATGATTTTTGAAGACTTCAGACTCCCAGAACAGGATGGCAGGAGCCACCAAGATGATCCCAAGAAGTCCCTGACTCTGTGCCCAGGGCCTCTGGGAACACTCCCAGGTACAGAAAGCATGGACTATAGCTTTCCAAAAACTCTAGTCTGTATCTTATTTTGAGTTAATAAAGCAGCTTTTGGGCTTACCCCAAAGTATCTTAACAGTTTTCAGTCTACCCTCTTAAGCCTGATTGGTTCTGCTTCCCAGAGAAACCCGGACTTCTGAACTAAGGACTAGGCCACATGCAGGAGTGACAGTCCCAACTTACGGCCCACCTCGGGGCTCTGCCTGGGCTTTAAGCTTTCTGTGCCAGTTTCCTTATATGTAAAACTGGTATAGTAATAGCACACACCCTTCACACGCATGTGAAGATTGAGTCAACATAGGTAAAGCACTCAGAATAAGTACTATGTAGCTATTCTTTTGACAGCGGAATTTTGTGTATTATGCCAACTCCTTTGAGAAGAGTCTAGGAGAAATATGGTAGGCTGTCTTCCCCTCTGCCTCTAAGGTCACAAAGTTGCCATTCTTTTCACCTGCAGTGCAGAAAGCTATTTGCCAAATCTCGGTTCCACAGCTGACTTTGCCTCTAACCAGCTGTGGGACAATGGAAAAGGGCCTCCTGACTGCCATGGGCCTCAGTCTTCCGATCTGTAAAATGAGTGGTCCAAGGACCCTCCCAGCTCTGGAATTCTGTGACTCCGATTGTAAAAAGAGCTCAAGGGCTTGAATACACACTGTCAGTCAGGAGAAGGGGCTCAAAAGTAATCTTTCTCTGACTTGTGAGTCAGTTTTCATGATAGTCTATAATTCATCTTTCCAGAAAAAAGCAAAATCTGTTTGTACTTAAGGGCCCAGAAATCACAGGGCTCACCATATTGGAGTAATTATCAGGTTCAAGCTCAAGGAAGTAGCGATAGTAGCAGTAGTAATAGCACCTGACATATAAATAGCCCTTCATATTTCTCAGTGTTTTCTTACACTCTATTTCATTTCCAGAAGGCAGGAAGTAAGCATACAGCAGGATCCAATGGACTAATGAGGCATGTTCCTCTTTGCTGACCCCTAAGGTTTCTGGGTCAGTCTCTTGACCTTGAGAATCTGATCCCAGCAAGAGACCACTGTCAGCAAGAACATGTGTCATCAACTTGGTCAGAGATGTGGTACAAGGAGACCAGGGCTGGGACCTCCGC